TAGATATTGTGGTCCTCCTCATACTGGTGTTGAGGTAGAAAAATTTGTGTTAAAACTTATTGGGGAGTGGAACCTTCAGGGTAAAGCTTTTGCAATGACTGTTGATAATGCTCGATCCATGGATGTTATGGTTAACCTTTTGAAGAAAGATTTAATGTTGACTTCTCCTCTTCCTTGTAATGGTAAATTTTTTCATATTCGATGTTCAGCTCATGTCTTGAACATTATTGTTCAAAGAGGTTTAAAAGAAGTTGATAGTAGTGTTCAAAAATTGCGTGAGGTTTGTAAATATATTGATTCTTCAGATTCTAGACTCACTCAATTTGAGCATGCTCTTCATGAGGTTAACTGTGTGTTTAATGGAAAGTTACGTCTTGATGTTGTGACTCGTTGGAATGCCACATATACGATGATTCGAAAAGCTTTGGAAGCAAAGGAAGCCTTGAAATTGGTTATTGATAGGTTTATAGGTTATGAATTCAAACTTTCGAATGATGAATGGGATACCCTTACTAAAATATGTAATTTCCTAAAGCCATTTCATGAAATCACTGTGTTATTTTCTGGTTCAGAATATCCTACTGCAAATTTGTATTTTGCTAGTGTTTTAAAAATTGAGCACACAATAAGTAAAGCCCATATAGATCCTAAACTTGCACCCATGGCAAAAGTTATGCTTGAAAAGTTTGAGGGCTATTGGGATGAATATAGTTTGATCCTATCAATTGCTATTGTTCTTGATCCTCGTTATAAGCTTGTTCGAGTGATGAAGATGTTAAAAGTGCTTTATGTTGTTGAGGCATGTGTTGAAAAGGCGAAGGTGATTAAAGATGCTCTTTTGGAGTTGTATAACTTTTATTCTTCTTTGTCTTCCGGTTTTACATCAAGTACAAATGCTCCACCCTCCATCCCAGCTGTTATCGAAAATTCAAATAGTCACTTGGATGATGATATATTCAAGGTAATCAATTTCTGATTATTGTGGTTTACAAAATTAATAATTTTATGTTTTAATTTTATTATTTAATAAAAGCATTTTGTTTGAACTTTTCTAGTATGTTGATAATGATGATGATGAGGAGGATGACACATCAAATCGGCCATCGATGGAGATTGATTCTTATTTGTGTACTCCTCGACAACCAATTTATGAAGGGCAGAAGTACGATGTTCTTAAGTATTGGGAATCTCAAAGTAGTGTGTACCCCATATTAGCTGTTATGGCTAGGGATGTTTTGGCCATTCCTATTACATCGGTAGCCTCAGAGTCTTCTTTTAGCATGGGTGGTCGTATTTTAAACAAGTATAGGAGTGCGCTTTTGCCTAAGAATGTTGAGGCGTTGGTGACCACACAAAATTGGTTACGTGGTTATGATTGTGATATTGAAGAAGACGTCCTTGAAATTGGTAAAGAAGTGATAGATGAAAGTTTTGCATCTAATTAAGAAGACATGGATGTTGTATTGTAGTGAACTAGTGATGCTTAATATATATTGTGTTGCTTCATTGCTAAAATGTTTTAATCTCATAGAACAAGTATTAATAGTTTTAGTCACATTACATATTGATATGTTGTTCCTTTTTTTATCTCGAGTTATTGGTTATTATTTATGTCCCGCTAAATATTCATCTTGACCTGCAACCGACTCACTTCGTAAATGATCTGCATCGACCCACACTGACCCACCCAATAACCACTCCTAGTAGTAAGTAGTTTGTAAACGGTTCGATTTATAAGGATTCGGTTCATAAACAGTTCGGTTTATAAACGGTCCGGTTTATAAACGGTTCGGTTTGTAAACGGTTCGGTTTGTAAACGGTTCGGTTTATAACGGTTTTTATGCCAGTTTAAACGGTTTCGGGTTAGAAACGGTTCGGTTTATTTTCGGTTCGGTTTCCTTTCCAGTTCGGTTTAGATTTGGTTCGGTTCTAAAACGGTTTAACATTACTCGGATCGGTTCGGTTTCGGGTTTACTAAAATGCGGTTCGGGTCGGTTTTCGGTTTCAAAAAATCGGTTTTTAATCGGTTCGGTTCTCATTCGGATCAGTTTGAATCGGTTCGGTTTCACCGGTTCGGTTCGGTTTTTGACAGTGCTACTCACAACTCACAAAAGAGTAATATAATTTGTGTAACATGCAAGAAAAGCTCTCAAAATAGTAACATGAGAGTGACATCCTACTAGCATGTGTTTCATGCATCTCCTTTTCATCATGAATTTGATTTTGTCATTATCTGTCCTTTTATTGATCTTTTTGGAAATTTTCATAATGTTTATGAAATGGAAATGTTTCTCATTAGCTTGTAGCCACTTAAATTTATATATGATGATGACCACTATAATCTACTCTAGCGATGGCCGGTGGCTGGTGCAGAACCTGAACTCTCATTATCTGATACATGAAAGAATTTTTTTTTATTTTTATTATATACACGTTTTAATTGGTTTGTGAATGGACCGACCTTAATGAGGATTATAAACATTTCACTAGTGAGATATTAAATATAATAGTTTTACAAGGGTGATAGTAGATTTCATCTTTTACGTAGAATCCAAAGTTAATTGAAATTCACATGGTTAGACAACAAGTCGATTGAAATCACAACTTGTTAGTACCATTACACTATTGTATGTGTCTATTATAGGTGTATTATATAGAAACCTTGTATTAATTATATTTATAATGAGTATTGAGCCAAAATTGTTCAAGTAACTAAGGAAAAATTGGGTTGGAAGCTAGGGTGGAACCTATTTAATTCTAATTTGACCAAGGAAGAGAAATTGTGGAATCCTATAATCATCTTATTTTAATTCCACTTATGTCCATGGTTTTTTTTTTTCTTTTTCTTTTTTTTTTTATGGTTTGTTACTTTTTTTTTTTTTTTTTATAATTTTTTTTAGGAACTCCTTTTGGTATATTATTGTTTTGGATCACCTTTTTATTTTGGATTTTCTAAAACATATAGTACATACTTAACGTCTGTAAATTAAACTATATTGTATTAATTATTTTTTCAGAATTAATCAATGATAATAAACTTAAATGTGTTTTTTTTTTTCTCAACAACGGTTACATGAACAATACAAAAGATATTTATTGGAGCAAGATGGAGCACACTTGGGATTTTTTTAAAAAAAATAATGAAAGCATTTTCCATCAATAATAAATCATGTGGTGATAATGAAAACATTTTCCATCACAGAGGGCGTGGACAAGGAGCCAACTGTAGAGAAATCTAACACCACAGAAAATTGTTGGTTGGGCATATAGCTGCATTATGTGAGTATATTAGTGTAATAACTAATAAGTGTATACTGTATTATTATTATCATTAGTTAAGTACAGTTAAGTACATTTAAGACTACTTGTCAAGTCGGCACACATTGCTTCACTATAGCAAACAAGATGATAGATAATCAATTGTGAGCTCTCGTCAAAAAAACTTATTTTTTCTAAATTACTTTCATTTATTCTATTTAAATTTATGTTTAATAATAAGGGAAGTGTGACAAGTTTTGAATAATAAGGGAGTGTGACAAGTTTTGAGGAAGGGCTTAATGACTTAACTTTTTATTACGTATTATATTATTGATTATTAATACACTATTTATACAATACAAGATGGAATCGCGTAAGAAACAACCTTCTTAAACACTTTAAAATAATATTTTTTTTTCGAAATTAAGTAAAACACCTTAACGTACTCGTATTTTTATACAATACTATTCAAATATCGGTTTTTTTTTTTCCCTTTTTTTTAAGGGCAATTCAAATATCAACACTTAATATAATTCTATCTTAAATTTTTACTAGACATATACATCCAATATTAATTTCCCTAGATACTATCATATGATCTATCTGACTATCTTAGTTAATATATGGAAAATATTTTTTACAATAATGTACTTCTTATAATCTTATACGAAGTATTAATAATAATGTGTTGTTATATTCATCCGATTTTTAGTTATCTAAACTCAACTTTATTACTTCATTAGTTATAATTGATCTTTGGTATACTAGCTCTTATTAACATTATCTTTAATTGAACTTATTAATTAATTGTTCCTTTCTTCATTTCCCTTCTCTCCCTATTCCTATACCCCCCTTAAACCCAACACACCATTGCCATTTCAAGTATATTGCTCCCCCGCCTTGACAAGAGTATCTTTTGTAGATTCCCTAACCTTAGTTAGTAAGTTGAGGCATAATTAACAAATAATACTACCATTTTATGGATTGCATCTCCATCAAGATAAAATAGTAAAAGGCTATTGTAGTTAAGTAATTATATTTCAACTCGGTAAAAAACTAAAAATAGTTACCTTATACTTCACATATATATATATATATTTTGAATTTGCAAAAGTAACTAACTGGAGGGATCAAGGATAGAAAAAGGTAGGTTGGTTGAGTTTTAGGACAGAGATTGTTAAACTAATTTCAATAATATTGTTTACGCATAATCCATTCCATTTTATTGATTAAATTTACCTAAACCAATTTTCAGAATAAGCTACGTATACGCCAAAGATTTTATTGCTTAGTAGTGTCCTTAATCAAACCGTCCATCCAAAACTTGCGATCAAATCTCGTATAGATAAAAAACTTTAAACACTTCAATCTTTACACACAACAAAAAGCTCTTAATATCTACATTAGACTGTAATAATTCCTGAACTGTACACTTTTTGAATGCAAAGTCTTATGAATTCAAATACTATCTCTATGTGACTGGCAAAAAGAATCTAATCTTCTTACAACAAAATCTTGCAGCTTGCGTGACAATACAATGTCATTGAAAGCCTAAGCCACCAATATTAGATGACAACATTCAGAAGCAAAGTTACTTTGTCACAAAAATTACTACTTTGGAAATATCGCAATTCACAAGAATCATGCAAATTCTGTGCTCAATCACCTTCAACTTTATAAAGAATATGGAATCACAAATATGGAGGAAAAAAAGGGAAAAGAGGGGCTGAACAATTAAGCTCTTAGTTGATTGTAATTTCATGATTCATCAATTTGCAAATGTATCATAGATACATATTAGTCTTGCTCATGCAGCAAATTTATATGCACAAATTATGCGCGTCACAAACTTGTGATATACACTTGGAAAAATTTTTAAATCGAACTTCTATATGTAACTATCAATATAAGTATTCATACGTATTTATATATATTATGTTCAGCTTCCATAGCCTTGCTACCCATGCCATTTCATCTGAGAAATTTTGATGAAGTGGCATTGGAAAAAACCTGTCAAAGGCGGTGGCCTTGTGTCATCTACCGCGACCCTGATTATTATTATTGTTGTGAAAGTCGTTCTGTAAGTTGGCAAAAGGATAACTGGCCGAAGAAGTGGTGGTGGTGGTAGAAAATGATGAGAATCCTGATGATGCTGCAGTTGAAAACTGTTGGACTTGGTTTGCAGTACCACCAACTCCACCTCCACTTCCTCCTTGACCTTGGTTTTGCATGTACCATGCCCAGTTTGGTAATCTTGCCGAGGCTGCCATTGCCTCTAGCTTTTGTTGATTACCAACGCGGTCCTGCTAAAATTGTTTTCAATTCAAGTTAGTGATGATAATAGCTTGAAGTTTACCAAGAAATTTAAACTGTAAAATAAGTCCAAGAAAGGTCGTGATCAAAGTTCTAAAATGGGAAGCCAATGAACAAAATCTTAGGCATGAACCTCGTGAAAAGTAAAATTCTCAACGCGCATTAACAATTGCATAGAAATTATCTCTACATTTGAAGTGTTCAAAGGTCATACTAAACTTTATATACAAATACAAGGTAGATTTTCACGTCCTTTGCAGAGTTACATCTGCATACTACCTATTAGGCCAGCACTGAACTCCAAATTAAGGCAGATTAACAAAAGTTTAATTGAACTTCCCCCTATTGTGTGCAAGTTTATTTTATGTTTGTTTGATTAAATTTGAACAATAACAGCTTCTCTTGCATGTATGTTCTTATAGTACATACAGTCGATATAGGCCAAAACATAAAGTATAAGCTAACAATCGAATCAATGAATAAACAAACTAGATGTACCTCATAGATTGCAGACCGACCTGGTGGTAAACCAGACAACATATTAGTAGATTGTCTCGATGGCAATGGCTGACCATAAAGCGGAGGTGCACCAGGAGTAAAGTAACCCCCATTCTGTCAAGATAACGCGATTAATTCCATTAATAACATTGAATTCAAACATAGTGGAGTATTCAAAGAATCCAGAACTGAATTGTCTCAAAGGGATATTTCTAATCCTCTGAAACATCAGTTAGATATTCGATTTCTTACCACAGGCCATTTTCCGTTGGCAAGGTGAAGAGGTGGATGATGAGTATGTGATTCTCCAGGACCCTTATCGTTGTTTCCTTTAGGACCGTCTATGGTGATCGATATTCCAAGATTCAGGTCAAGATTTTGCCCATCACCTGCCAAAAGCAAACATTGATTCCACTCGATCAAACACCAAAAGTAAACAAAATCTTGATCCCTTTGGAATCAAAACCAAATTGATCATGTATTACTAAACGAACATAATAACTTTAAAAAGATATATACCCTCGTTGTTAGCTTGCATTATCGGTATCTGGCCATCATACGAGCTAGGATCAAAATTTGTGACCGCTTCCCTTCCATTACATTGTATAGCAGCCTTATCATAAGCCCTGCACCACCATAGGGCATTGCGTGTTAATCGATCAAACACACACAAAACTCGAAAAATCAGAGTTTCAAGGAGTTTTGTAAAATTTATGGTCATAAAAGGACCTCGCGGCTTCTACTTCGCTGTCGAATAAGCCAAGATATATATACCTGCAACCAAGCATAACCGCGCCCACTGATAAACACTAGGTTCCTCAATTATCTTCCTCTTATATACCCTTATCACATTATTATTGTGATAATTATACCCTCTTACTACTATTAACACTAGTCTACTAGTAGTACCACTACCTTGGGCTGTCTAACTACGAATTAACATGCAAAAAACGCGCTAATTTTAATCTAAACCAATGCAATACATGACAATCAAAGAGTTAAAATACAATTAGGAGCATATATTGTATGCCAAAATTTATGTGCCTTACTTCTTGCCAAGGAATTGTCCCATTCTAGCTTCCCACCGGCCACATTTGTGAAGTGTCACGCCTCTATACCTCGAACTTCCCCGGGAGAAGCCGGTGCTTTGGCGCCGAAGGATGTGCACAAATTCTTCCTTGCTTAAGTTTTTCATCTGCTGTTAATCACAAGTCCATAATCATATGGTGTATTAATTATCAATGATGATCAATCATGAAACTATCACTAATTAAACAGCTATATTTAATAATTAAGGTTGTGTTTAATTAATTTGGTTTGAAACTTTACCTGTTTCATATCATCTTCATAATCAGCAATGGTAAAATTTATATCAGCATCAACTCCTCTGAATTTAATTGCTGCCCTATCATATGCCCTGAAATTCGATAAAAAAAACGTTAAGTATCATACGGTTTTGATATATGCAATCCTAAAGGCCTGGATACCACGATTTTGATGTACCCAATCCTAAAGGCTTAAATATTCGAAATTTTAACGGTTTTGATATATGCAATCTTTAAGGCTTAGATTAAAATTCATAGATTAAGTACCTAGCAGCAGCATGAGCAGTGTCAAATCCACCTGAAAAATGCCATGCAAATTCCAAGAAAATAAATTAGAAAAACATTAACCAAAACAAATTTAATGTCAATTAAAATTATATAATTCTTAAAAAAAAAATTAAATTTATATAATCATAGATCATTAAACTTACCCAAATACACTTGTTTCCCACAATCCCTGTAACAAAAAAATAATTACCGCACCAGAAAAAAACAAGTCAGACAACCCATTTTAAAATACACAAAAATAATTCAAATTATATAATAATCTTACAAAAAATAATTAAAATAATAATTTAAAATAACTAAAATAATTTTATTACCAAATATGTGACTCCCATCTGCCGGTTCTCCGGTAAAACGTGACACCTCTATATTGAGAACTCCTTGACCTGGGTCCCCTCCTACTTCTCCTAACCTGTTGTTTAGCATTATTCTGTTGCTCCGAACCTACACCTGAACCCGAACCTGAACCCGAACCTAATACCGAAAGATTCAGCCACTGATTATTATTAACATTACTTTGAGTTGGCGTGGTTCGGGTCATCGAAGACGATGATCCGAGCCTAAGAAGCTCCATTCCTCGGGTTCCGTCACCGGCTCCGCTTCCACTTCCGCCATTTAATCCGCCGTGATCAGCCTCATTCATCGGAAAAAGTTGCCGAGTTACAACCGGAGAAACTTCCTCTGTTCGTTGCTTTGAGAAGAAGTCAAACTCGCCGGCGCCGGAGATCAGAGACTCGTCGGAGGCGGCGTTGACGAGGGAAGATGCCGAGGAAGTTCGTGAGAGCTCAGTATTAGTTGCTGAACCTTCGTCTTTCATGGAGTTTTCTCTCTCCTCTTTATTCATTGAGTTATTGTTATTGTTAGTATTGTTAGCTACACCAATGTTGAGATCAAGCATTTTTGCAGATTAAATTTTAAGAGAACTACAGAAATCAAATACCCAGAAAAATTAATCAATACCCAGATTCTCAAACTCGGAAATGATCGATTGATTTTGGTTTAATTTTGATTGCGATTTTCTCTCTCTAAAACAGAGTTTTTGTGATAATGATAATAACAGTGGTTTTGTTGTTATTACAGTGTTGGAAAAATTGGTTGTTAGACATGGAAATTCGTGAAAAGATGAACAAAATAGATTAGAGAGAGAAAAAGTTTGGTGGAAGAAGATTTGGAAGTAACAACAATGGAGATTTTGATTTTTCAAGAAGAAGAAAAAATGAAGAGAGAGAAAGTAGAAGAAGAAGAGGGGCACCGGCCAAAGGGGTGAGACGTGTGAGAGAGAATACAACGTTTTTAATTGGTTGATATATATAAAATTATATGTAAAATAAATACAACTTACGTATATAGTATAAAATATATTTTAAAAATTAAAGTAGGTACTTTAATTAAATAAAATGAATAATACTAGTATATGAAAATAGAAAAAATATTATTACAACAATTTTACCCTTTAGGAAGGGGTAGTAGATAGGTTGCTTTTTTAGGTATTACCTATAGTGTACTAAAATTGGTATTAATTCTATATTCTTGGCTTCTTGTAAGCAAAATTGGGGGGTTGTACTACAAGACTACTAAAAATAATAAACGTGATAAGACTATGAATGAGTGAGTGTGATGTGGATGTGTTATTTAATTGTGTTGTTGACTTTTATGATTAGGGATATTGTTTAGTGTTAATTATATTATTTGGTTGCCAATAATCATTTTTTAACTACCTAGTTATGATGATGATATAGATTATTCCTTAAATATGCTATTAGTTGATCTAGTGGATTAGTACTTTATTTGTGAATTAGGGATTGTGTCATCTTGGTGCGCTATGTGGCTAATGTATATAGCACAACATGTACATTAACGTATGATTCCTTAATATATATGTCTATCTTATTATATTACTTACTTACATATTTTCTCCTAAGCGTAAGTTGCAGAGAAATCTTCAATGAAATTTGTATAAATATGTTAATATTTCAATTTTTTAATTTTTTTTTTCCCTTTTTTTTTTTTTTTTTTGAGTGTGTGTGTGTGATTCCTTAATAAATTCGTCATATAATACTCGTATTATATTTAGTAACGAATTTTCTCCCAAAGTGTAAGTTACAGGGAAATTTCAATGAAATTTTGATAAATACATAGTATGATTAATACTTTCCTTTTTTTCATTTTTTTGTTCATCTTTTTTATAAATACATAGTATGAAATTTTTGTTCATTTTTTGGTTCATCATTATTTATTATCCTCTAAATATTTATGTATTACTTCATACATTAATTATTTAAGATATATCTCGTGTGCACCAAAAAGCCTTTTTTATTTTTAATGATTTTAATCAAAATTCCAGTAGAACTCCCAAATAAATTTGAAGTCACATAAAAAGTTTCCAACTCTTCCAATTTTCAGATCAACTTGTTATTTAATTGAAGTGGGTTAGTCGAACTAGAAATCCAATTTGAATTTCGAATCAGAAAAATCCCAATTCAAATTGAAAAAAGAAATCTTGATAATTGATCTTATGGGTAGTCAAAATTTCGATCGAGTCACTATTTAAAAAAGTTTTTTTTTTAGTGTTATTAAAAGTTTACCATCTTTTAAAGTCTTCTTATCACATACTCCGGTTGATTCTTTTAGTTCTTTCCATATAAATTTGAGAAATAAATTAAGAAAAATGAATCTCATTGAGAGAAAATATTGTAAAATTAAAATTAAAATTAAATATTCGCTTTTTTCAAAATTTTAAACAATGAAAAATAGAGGGACAAGGTAATTAATGGCGATTGGCCAAGAAGAGATAATGAAGACTTATTTTACTAGTAATTCATATATAAATAACATCAAACAAACAAAAAAAAATGTAACCTGATTTGTTAGTTTGATTATACACTCTTCTTTATTTTAACAATTATATTAAAAGAACTTTTAATTTGAATTTCTTGTAAATTAGTCTCATTTTTCAATTGAGGTAACCTCGTCCGCTGGGGTAACCCCATTTGAAGGATTATCGTCATAACCATATTACTCAATTACTTTGCTTGTAGTGAAGTCGCTACACCAAACACTAATGGTGTGACTAGCCACGTATAAATATTAAATAGAAACACTCTTGATATAAGATATTAAAATCTTTTTATTTAAAAAAAAAAAAAAAAGATATTAAAATCTTTCTTCAAAAAAAAAAAAAAAGATATTAAAATCTAATTATTAGATATTAAAAAGGTTAGATCAGATATTGCATTTTTTTATCTTCTTTCCAAAAAAATAAACAAAAAAAAAAATTTGTTTTTTTATATTAGATATTAAATTTTTATTATCAAATATTAAAATGTCTATCATATATTAATATATCAAAAACTGAAATTTAGATATCAAATATATAAAAATAAAATTTTGATATTAATATGTCAAATCTGATATTAAAATTGAGTGTCAAAATCTGAGATAAAAATATTTATGTATTAGATAAAAGTGTTAAAATCTGATATGAAAAATTCAAAAATTGATGTTCTTACAATAAAATGGACTTATGGTGAGTTCGATCTCACACAATACCTTTTATTTAATAATAAAATCTTTACCATTAATCTTTATATACTCCCACCAATTGGGTGTTGGTGTAGTGGTGATTGGGACTACACTTGGTAGGGAGAACCTGTGTTCGATCCCCCGCAACAACAATTGGGAGGGGACTGGAACCTAACCACCCAAAACCCCGAATCCGGATTAGCCCAAAGTGTGAATCGGGTAGAACACCAAAAAAAAATATTTATATATAGTAGAAAGTAAAGAAATATGAAAAAAGTGGGGCTTGTGGAAAAATAAAGCATTATAGTTGAGAAGATAAAGAATATGAAACTATTAAAGTATGATAATAAAGGGTTCCACTTGGAGAGAAGAAATTAGGTTAATATTGTGAAATGTTCTTAAAATGGAAACGGAGCAAGTAATAAAATATGGTCGCAAAAAGAAAGTTGAGCAAGTAATAAAATATGGAGGGAGTATACAATATAACATAGTCAAGTTGTTACTTACCCTTCACAATTGGGTCTTATTTAATTCGTCTTAGTGAGTAGTTTATTAATATACAATAAATACTTTATTTTTACTATATTGCAACTAATGATATTTATGTTCAATGGCTCAATATTTTTCTGGAGTTCCCTACAATTGTTATACGAATTAAAATTACTCTTTATTTTATTACGAGTATATTCTAGCCTAATAGTTGTGTCGTTTTGAATAGGCTCATATTCCTTTGAATAAGAGAAATCAAAATGAACATATATAATGCATATAAGCAAACATTTAATCCACACATGTGCTAAATGTATCAAATACACCTTATAAAGTTTTTCAAAATGTTTAATTTGATGTAATCTTGTGCACCTTATATTAAGAAGATGTGGCATATATGTAAAGGTTTATGCAATTCCTATCAGTAACTAGTGGCTAACAATATTTCTATGAATGGACAAAATTCCAAGTCATTCAACGCTTTCACACTTTTTAGCAGAATCAATATAATGCAAGGGTTTGCATCTTGGCCCCTTACAAGGATTTTAATAGATCAAACAACGAACAAAAGGTGGTTCAATCATACAAGCACTAAATGACATTAAATGTACAAATACTACGCTATTGTTGCAAATTTAATTAATTAGGTGGATATAAAATAAAACAAAATTAGGAAAAGCTAGTTTGGATGTAACCATACAATAGTATAGTCCATAAAATTAGATCTTTACAATAAATGACCAAAATTAATTATATTTTTTTATTATTATTTTATCAAATGGTTAGAGTGTAATGCTTGATCACAAAAAAAAATTGACAATTCTTGTACGTTAGGGGACCATTAATAGTATTGATAACAACAATAATTGTAGTCTTGATTCCTTAATGAACGCCAAGCTAAGGATATAGACATATGGGGTTATCAAAAATCTCCAAAGATTTTTTAGTGTAAACTTTCAATATTTTATTGTTTTTAAAGGAGAACTCACATGAATCACATGCTTACTTTTTTGGAAAAATCAAATCACAATACTATTATGAGTAATTTACCATTTTGGGTCATCGTACCACTTTAGGTAAACCTAATTATATTGGTTTTGATCATATAAAATAAGCCTTTGGAGAATTTTAACTACCTTTGACTGATAAATTAATTTCACATGTATTTGGACCTCTTATATAGTTTATGTAAGAAGTCGGTAACTATTCCAACTTCACACAAGTTCACACTTCCTTAAATAGTCAAACATGTCATTTTAGGTAGAAGATTCAAGAAAATTTTTGGTGTCAATCAACTATTTACCTCGCATTTGTGAATTAATTAAGTGGGTGTATCATGATATATAGAACTCACATATTTTTTTTGAAAACAGAACTCACATATTTTAAACATGAGTTTAAAAAAGAACCAATTCTTATCATCTCTAAGTTTATAATTAAGTATCGTCGTGATAGTTGTTTTCTTCACATAATTACATTTAGTAGTCTAAAATTCTAAATTGTTAAGGTTTTGAATTTGTGGATTCGACCACAATCTCTCCTACAAGCGCCATCGTGCCAATACATGTTCAAATGGACAAAATCATCACTTTAATTTTCTTATAAAAACAATTTCCGCTCTAGTTCAATTATCTTTTAATTTATTGAACAATATTATGTTAGTTAAATAATAAATTAGCTTAATAAGGGAGTTTTTAGTCCTTGGGCGAACTAGCTTAGGAGGCCAAATGGACTTATGGTGTTCCAATTTTTTTGTACGAAGTAAATTTTGGCACTCAATTAGCTGGCAAAAGTCCTTTATACAGGATAATTAATATTTAGTTGTACAAGCAAAATAATTATCATTGATTGCTTTTAAGTTAACTTTAAGTTTTTAATAAATTTAGGTCAGCTAATAACTCTTAATTATCAATTTTCACTAACCGTTGCAATGTGTTAGTCTTAATTATGCATGCCAACTATATTAAAATAAAATTGGATTCACTAACGGGGTTTGTCTTGCAGGTTTCTGTCCAACTGTTCGCGGCGGCAGTGCTCTCATTTGCATAGGTTATATTACCAAAGCATGTAATAGACTTATATGTGTGCCATGTATTTTAGTTCCTTTCTTTTAGCCTAGGTTGTAATTTGCTCTTTATTTATATAGTTCTCATTGTCAAATAAATAAATAAAATTGGATTGAGTATACATGCAAACAAGTAAAATTGGCCGCATAAAAATTAATCAGCTAACTAAACATTGTCTTTAATTAGTTTAAAACTTTAATAAAATTATTACGTTTGTTTACTCTATACTTTGCTGT